GCGGAGATATGTAAATTAAAAGGAAGGTAAGCAAGCTAAAATAACTTACAACTTTCAAGCGATTTAATCCATCAAATTCTGGCATGCCATCTCCAAAAAGTTGCAAAACCTCTTCTCTAGCGCGAACTTGCCAGTCTGGATGTCTGCTTAACAAAATCATAGTCCATACAAGCCATACAGAGGTTGTCTCTTGTCCAGCAAAAAAGAACAACTTACACTCCTCAATAACATCTTTTATAGTCATACCAAAATTCTTGTTACCGTGTTGCTCGATTTCTTTAAAGTTGGATTCCAACAATATGCCTAATAGGTCATCAGTATTGGCCTCCCCTGCTTTCATTCCCTTCACTCTTTTATCAATAATTCCCCTAATTGTTGCTTGAACTTCTCTCTCAATCTCCTTCATCCTTCTGTTTCTCTTAGTTGGCAAGAACCTACATTAGTTTAACACAAAAAAACATGTATATCATCATCAAATAATCACTATTTTAAACTTCTTTTCCTGTTATATTTGGATATAGATACTGGGAAGAAGGGTTTAAGTTATATACACACGTAAATAGTTTTTACTCTATCAATGTATTTTAACTTGTCATTGAAGGCACTATAGAAACATCAAACATAGGTATTAGCGGCGTACAACTTCCACAAAAACTTGTCGATGATCCTATTTAAGGACGGATTAGAAACCATTACCAAAAAATATGTTAGCTAGGGGCCATTTAGCAACAGATTAGTGATGAACTCTGTAATACATAACTTAAACTATGAAAAAACGACGTCGTATTACCTCCATCCCAGAATATATAAGGTGCGAGAAACTTCAATGACATGCTTAGCTTGTTCTTTTTGAAGCTCAAATATCTTTCGACCTTCCTCATAGTTGCTCCCAAAGGCTGTGCGAGAAATAACATCACTAGTCAATCTTTGAAGGTAAGGCCATATATCGAGTTCGGTGGACGATTCTTTCATTGAGACAGCCTCCTCCCATTGACTCACCATTTCACTGCAGCTCAAATGAACTGTGTGAAGCATATCCTACACATTGTAAACCACTCATTAATACAAATTAAACCAACTGCATCTTGTAGAAATATTATCTCCTAAAAAAACTTAGGCCATAATTGCAAGCTAGAGAGAAAACAGAATGAAAGCAGAGTCAATATCATGAATTTGTGATACATGGAGAGTTGCTCAAACGGTAAGCACCCTTCACCTCTAACCTAGGATTGTGGGTTCGAGTCACTAAAGGAGCTAAAAGGAGGGGAGCTTCTGGGGGGGGGGGGATGATATCGTGAATTTGTGATTATGGAGATGAGGTTTTTTGTTGCATTGCGTGACTATCTTATTTAAAAACTTAAACTGTTAATACTTGAACACACCAAGAAACCAAGGGAATTCAACATCTACTATACATACGTAAAAATAAACAAATTTAACATTTCAACAAAGTGGATTCAAATGAACCCCTTTTGTCCCCTTAGCTTCCCCCCTATGTGAAAATATATTATGCTTTTGGGAGGGAGAGGAATGATAAAATACCTTTATCTTCTCCATATGGAAAGCAGGATTGAGAATTCTCCTATGCTTTGCCCATTTATCATCTTCATAGCTTAGAATTCCTTTTGCCAGCAACTTGGTCTGTGGAGGGTATTTTGGCTTTTGATAGAGGGCATGTTTGTTAAACACATCCCTTATTACCTCAGGGTCCCCTACGATTACCAAAGGCTTTGGCCCAACCCATATAAAACAGTTTTTACCTGTACAATATTGCAAGGCCAAAAATTCTTAGCTCAACTTTTCTTACTTTTCACAAGTATAGAAAGATGTGGAGTTAGAACTTGAAATTTATAGCTAGATTCTCATTATACTTGTTGGATTTGAAACTAAATATGTATGCATATTTAATAAATTTCCTATTATAAATATATGGTCCAAGCAAAAGTAACTAGTTTATCCGAACTCCTACTTGATATCTATAGTTGAGTCATTGGATCATGTTGTTGTGGGCGGGTAAGCACCCCTCTATCCTTACCTCGCGTTTGGTCATAGATTTTGGATCAAAACTTCTGAAAAAGCATCTTGAAATATCTGTTTGACCATAGATTTGAAACAAACTTTGAAATCTCCAAGTTCCATAAAACTGGTGGAAAAATTTCACTTTTCACTCACAAAACTTCAAAAATTCCCAAGTAAAACAACTTTAAGTTAAAAAAATCATAACTTCAAAAACTCAATTCTCAAGCTTCAACTTCAAAATCAATGGTCAAACAAGAGCTTAATCAAAGATCTCGAGTTTGAGCTTTGAAATGAAGTACACTTTACTCCATATGTGAATTCAAACTAATCAAACCCTAAAACAAATACATGAGAAAACCAATGAAAAGAAAACAAAAAATTACCGTATTTCTTGATTGTTTGAACGAAATAAGGGAGAATTCTTGGTGTTAAGTCATCATCAGAGGCATTCAATGGTTTGGACTTTGCATCTTCAATGCTTTTAGACAGCTCTTTGATGTCTCCATAAATCAATTTGTAAGAGTTCCCTTTGAGACCTTGTTTTCTAAGGCATTTCTCCAATTTCCTTGGCCTAAACCATGCCCAGTCCAACAATCTCCATGCATATATTACAAAGGTAATTGCTAATAAAAATAAGGCTAAGAAATGGTAAGTAACAATCTCCATTACTTTATGTTTCCTTCCCCCTATAAGGAATGTAATGTGTTATATATATACTGTGTTTGAAGTTTAAATACTCCCTCTTGTGAAAAATTAAAGTTATTTTTTTGGAGGTACAAAAAATATCTTAGATATTTAGTAGAACTTTCTAGAATTTTGGAGATACAAAAAATATCTCAGATATTTAGTAGGTCTTTCTAAAATTTTGTAGAGTAAATATCTTTGATATTTATACTTAAGAAAAATCTAGATGCTCTAGGAAATTAATGTGTTATATATACTGTGTTTGAAGTTTTAATACTCTCTTTGTCCATTTTTATTTGTCATATTGTGCTTTTCAAAAGTCAATTTGACTAATTTTAAAGTTAAATTAGATTACAAGGGTATTTGAATTGACTTAAAAGTTGGTCAAACCTACATTTAAGTCAGTTTTTTATTTCTATAAGTGTTTGACAAGTATAAAAATAATTTAAAATAAGTTCCAAAAAAATGACTTAAAATAAGTTAGGAAGTGTTTGATAAGGTTAAAAATAACTTAAAATAAGTTTAAAATGACTAAAAATTTTCATTCACCAAATGCTTATTTTTGAATACTCATTTTCCTTCTTTTTTAGAAAAAGGAATTTTACCGCGTTAAATAAATTTTAAAAAAAACCATTTTTAAGTGTTTGACCAATGTTATAATCTCTATTTACTTTTTTTTTTTCGTCCGATAAACTTAAATTTGGCCTGTTCTGTCCAGATTTGCTTAACTATAAATAGTCTTAAGTATCCCCGAATTAACTTGACTCATTTGATAGGGTAATTAATATGATTGATGGATAGCTTACGTGAAAATCTAAATAAAACACGTCAAATTTATGGAGGTTCAGATAATCCGTCATTTATTTTTGGGTTAAAAGTTCTTGAATTTATATAATCAATTATGACGTTATGTATAAACTAGATTATATTGTAGCTCACCATTCTTTAAAGAGAAAACGTTCAAATATGTCATCTATAGGGGTGTCCACGAGTCGGGTTGGGTCGATTATTGATCGAAATTAAATTAATTTAATCGATTTTTAAATTGGAAAAATGACTTAAATACACAATTTATTTTACTATATTTTCTAAAATTCTCTACCATATGAAAAAATTACAAAAATCTCTAGTTTACACGATGTATCAATCGGACACATCACTTTGCGATGTATTGATCGGATACATCACTTTGCGATATATCGAGATATTACTTTACGTGACGTGTCAGTTGGATACATCAGTTTACGCAATGTATCGGGACGTACGTGATGTATCCAAAACCAAGATGCGATGTATTAGGATGTATCCAAAATCGGAATGTGATGTATCGAGACGTTTTGGGATGTATCCGGATTCCACCAAATTTAATGGATTTTTGTAATAATTTGGAAAAGAGTAGGGATAAGACGTAATTAGCTCTTAACACTATGAGATTTGTGTAAAATCTATAAAATTGGAAAAACCAAATACAATGTACATTTATCGATTTCGGTTCGATTCGGTTATAGGTCATTAACTATACACAAAATTTAAAAAATGATTCATTCAACAGAGAGAAAAAAGACAACAAATTATTCAAAACGAAAAATAATTAGAATAATTAACATTACAGAGCTTTCGATTACTAAATTCAGTGTGAATAAAGCTTCAAAATTCACCATTTTGGCCTAGAAGAAAGATACAGTGACATTCCTAATCCTAATCTTTTTAAAATAAAGGAACCTTTTAAACTAAATGGAAGATGCACATTTCCATGACCTTACCTTGAGGGTATGCATTCTGATGCACTTTTTATTATGCAAGTGAAGTTAAAATAGAAGTAAACAATAAGAACAATTGATGAAGCTAATGACTGTTGAAGGTGATTCTTATCAACTAACATGTAGAAGCAACAGAAACACTCTTTAAATAGATCAGATTCCATACAGCCTAAAAGCAAATGTAGAACACTTTGTACAGAATTTGACTAGAAGCTGAACAAATAAATGTCAATTAGTTTGCCAAACCGAAGAAATAGAACATATCAAAAGTGATGATAAAACAGGGATGTCAAGTCCTTGGTTGTTAGTTTTCCTAAGGCCTCTGAAGTAAAACCACCTGTCCTGCAATCAAAGGAAAAACGAACAGTTAGGGGAAAATGTTTTTTTTAGAGAAAGAGCGGAGGAAGGGAGCAAAGAAGGAATGTAATAAAAAGATTGACACTAAGCTGAAATGCAACAATGGTCTGGGACATCGATTCCTTCTGGAACTGTCAAACATATTCTAAATAGACTCAAAAGGAAGAATTGGCAACAGTTTCACAAGGAACTTATTGCTGCATTGTGTGGAGCAATGATATACCAGGTTTTGAGAGCAAGGAACTGAAAGTTGTTTAAAGGCGTCACTGTAAATACAGATACAGCCATGACACAAATTAAGAAGGAATTTGCAGACAGACTTGAGTTAGTTAAACGGTCTAGAAAGGCGAATAAGTATTGTTGGTTGTTGGAGAGATCTATAAGAGGCTTAACTAGAGTGCTCTTTAGGTGTATTTGTTTATCATTTGTTAATGGTAATTTACATTGGTTACCAAAAAAAACTTGCAAGGGAAAATCATCAAAATACTTTATTTTTTTCAGAAGACAAATGCAACTATGTAGACGACTATAAGAAAAACACACTTGCCCATCAAAAAGTAATTTCTTCTTCTCTTGCAACTCTAAGATACTCTCTTCAATTATATTCTCAATCACAAATCTCACAATCCTGCAAATTTGAAAACAACAATAAGCTCCATTCAAAGTAGAATAAATACGACAGACACTTGACTGGTTTATATTGCCCTATTCTATGGATTCTATCTTGGGCTTGCTGCTCCACCACAGGATTCCACCAAGGATCCATTAAGAAAACTTAGCAAAGATCAACGGATGAGCCACATAACATGTTCTTATTCAACAGATAAATACAAGTCATAATTGTATATTCAATGAACCTAATGACAGGAACCTGAAGATAAAAATAAAAGAAGTTGCAAAACATTCATATCTATCCACAAATAGAAATGTATTGGGAAGAAGCAGAAAATGACTATTTGCAAGAATAGAAAGTTGGAAGTTGGTAGAAAGAAAGGAAGAAGAGAAGAAGTTGAAAGAAAAAGAATGAGGAGAAAGAGAGTCAATTTTATCCAAGGAGCAAATGCCGTTTTCACTCTAATTGAAGCAGCAAAGAGAGTCAATTAGAAAACAAAAACAAGAAGATGAATGCAAGCATCAACTACAATTATGAAGAATGTTCAAGGTTCCACACATGTCAAGCATTTATAAAGTATTGACTTGGTACCTTCGCTTCTGTAGGAATGCGAATTGCGATCATAGCAAAAATGTGAAAATAGTTATTCGTCAGAGTTCCAGCCTGTACATATCTGCACAAAAATACAAAATGGGTATACAGTTAGAAATAAGAATATCCTTGCTCCCTTCTTACTTTTTTGGCAAGGTAATGACACAAATGATTGAGAATTTTATGGGAAGAAAAAGACGTATAAATTTAAGTTATGAACCAAGAAACTAACCCAAAGGGTTCCAGAACTACTCGAGGACAAGAAATTGTAGGAAACATGATACGCAGCCAAAAAAAATGAGAAACAATGGGCCAGAAAATTGGAACAGCCGTACACAAGCAAAGTGAACTTGAAGGAAGAATTATTTTTTTCTTCGAATTTATTGCTAGACAGTATGTCCAATGGTCTTTTATTGATAATAAAATAAAAATCCTCCGTTGGAATAAGTACAAGGGGGCTGGAACTTACCTTATCAATCCTAATGAGGTTCTGCAAAGTAACCATGAAGAAAATAAGAGCTAGCGAGAATAAGGTGTTCTATGCTTACGCAATGCAAAGGAGATAATACATAAAAAAAAAACTCATAAACTTGGCAGCAAAACTTACTTTAGTACTTTAACTGTTGTGCCGTAATTTTCCTAACCTTTAGAAAAATCACCTTTTTGAAATGTTCCAAGTATAAAACAAAAAAAAAAAAATACTTAGAAAGAGTCGCCACTTAATTTTTTTTAAAGAAATTAAGAAACTTATAATTTTCAAAGATTTAAACAGAGAAAAATTATTTGAAAATACCAAAGAGGGTTCGGGGTTCAATTTACACTTCGAGAAGGGTTTAAGCATTCGAAGTGCCCACTAACATGCGGTTGACCTGCGACTCGACTAAAATATATTTGACTATTTAAAAAAAAAAAAACAATTTAACATAAAAAATAATAACTTATAATATATTTGATTAAGAAAATAATTAAATAAATGACATATTTTATTATTTTATTTTTTAGAGAAAAAGATCCAAAATAGAACATTTGACTCGAAATACAAGTCATTAGAATTTTAATAAAA